CAAATGACGCCAAGATATCGTATTACACAAAGTTCTATTTCCGGTCGATTATCGGCTGAGGCACACTGGTGCCGTTACAATAATACTCCATTTCAAATGGAAATAATAATATAGCATATTGGTTTCGTGCATCCCCTGAGGATAAAAGGTCAAAAGACGTGGCCACCATGTTGGTTGACATGATAAAAGACTCCAAGACCAAGTATTTGGTCCAAAAGACCAAAATGGCGGATACGACGTCATGTATGTGCAGCCCAAAAATAACGGGCATTGTTGTCAAGGCTATCATTATGTAGACATCATAGCCACGTATCATTCCGAAGAGTATCCTTTCTTTGTTTTACGGTGCGCTCGGTTACACATGAGAAGACACATGAATATGGATACGACTCAAACAAAGAATCTCATTCTCAAGGGAATGACACGTGGTCTAAAATGGGACAACATTACACCAAAGCCGAGGAGGTCAATTGAATTATAATTTCTCTGTAAACAATGGTTCAAGATTCTTTCATATCTTTTATGTTATCCGCTAAAAATCGTTAAAAAACATATAGTTTTATCTCACCGAAATCGTATCGAAAACTTCGCTTCTACACTATCGTTTGCAAATTGTTTTCGCCCTTCCACACTAAAATGATCCTTACACAGATAAGATAGAAAATGATGCAATATCATCAACTACGCAAGCGAAAAACAGACTAAATGACGTCAGCGCTTTCAAAAGCTTCAAATACAACATCGTAGGCAAATGTTTCTTGGAGGTAATTCGCTGCATTTCAAGTCTGGGCTGTTCTAAGTTAAGCTACGCCTTAAATAACATGCAAACATGTTCGTATAACGGCCCATCGGGTCTTAGCTGAGATGCCAACGCAAAGTGAGCATCGAGTATATTAATACAGGGAGACAACACAAACCGAGATAAGTCCCCCAATGAGATGTCAACCGTTTATACATATTATGTAAGACACACTTCAGAATGGATTAGATCGTGTCTTATAAGTTAGGACGTATATTAGGTATTTTTCTATTATTAGCATATTTTCCCTGTCACTAAATGGCCCTATTACAATCTTTGCTCTTTCTATTTCGATCTCTCTCTCTCTTTATCAGTCTGGAAAATTTCGATTTTATTATTTTTAAGCCAACGGTTTTGTTCCGTATACTACTTCTCTTCAACGTACTACCATATAGAAGAGAAAATAAACTAAGAAAAAGAATTCCCGCGTCCCATCATGAACACTCTTTGGTGTTATTTTTAGAATCATGAAATTGATCGTTTGTTTTTCAACACGCGCTTGCTGCTCGCACTCTACCCTGTTTGCTCATGTTTTCTTGTGTTTTCAACAACAAAAATTAACAAATTGACATTAGTATTTCATGTGTCTGTCCTCTTTTGGACGATAAAATGGCGTCATCACATTGTCAAAGTAGTGTTGATCCACGAGGCGTAGCAGAGTGGATCCGGAAACAACTTTGGCAATGTGATGACGAAATTTATTGTCAGTAGGAGGACATACACATAAGAAACTTATGCCGATTTTTTTTTACGATAACCAAAACGACAAAAACTTCTTATTCTTAGCGAACAAAACAATCAACAAAGAGAGAGCGCGCTCATTGACTTCAGCTTATCCATATGCCCTAATAACCAATCAGCGCGCGAGAAATTTCTAAGTTAGTGTAAGAAAGAACGTTTTTGCAACAATACACTGAATCAAAAATGGCTACCAATTTGAAAAACTATCATTCTGCATTGACTAGCGACTGACTAGCCTTTTTCACATAGATGCGAAAAGGCTTTTTTGTTTCTACGAAAAAAAAAACAAAAAAAACAAAAAAAACAAAAAACAAAAAAAAAAAAACAAAACAAAACAAAACAAAGCTAGTCAGTCGCTAGTCAGTGCAGAACAATAGTTTTCATTTTCAAATTGGTCGCCATATTATGATTCGGTGTATAGTGCGCCATAATGATGGGGGGAATAGTCCCCAAGAAAAAAAAAAAATTTTTTTAATTTCTTCTTTGCTTGTTCGATTTTGTCATTAATTTTGAATTGCAAATTTACTGAAGACATTAGTAACATATTTTATCCCTGATGCACTGCTTGGCTCGCGTCTCAACAGTTTAAGTAAAGTTTCATGCTTGATGTCTCTTTTGTTTTAAATGTGGTCGTCTTTACATTCTTTAGGAATATCAAAATGATTATCTTGAGCCAAAATACCCTTATAATTCTTCATATTTTCTAACATTTCGTAAATTATTGCCTTAGCATTCATCATTATTTTTTCTTAAAGTTTTAAGATTATACATTATATCAAGATCCTTATTATTTAGTTATTGCTTAATATACTTAAGCAAACACCCTGGTTGAACTAAACGGTTCAAACAGTGAACGCAAAGCAGCTTCCAGATTACTGTGATACTACTTTTAGTCAGAATGAAAGCTGCCCATATTTTTAGCTTAGCTAATGCATGTGCCCTTTGTCTTGTTACAGCCCTACAGAGGGGTCTATAATGTGGAAGTAGTACGTGAGTAAACGAAGTGTTTTTTCCACATCAGTCCACAGCAACTTCAAACTTCAGAATTGAAATACTCTTGGAAAATACAGGTTTCAAGGAGTATCAAGAACAATTGATAAAATAACTGTTACAAATTTCGCTTGTTATTGGTCGAGAAGCGTGCTTTAATTAGAACGTCTTTCCTTATTAGTAATGTATTAAGAAAAAGGAAAATATATTTTAAGAACGTCGCTTCGTCGTGCGTTTGCATAAGATGCTTAAGACTCATTTAATTCTCTGCACTTGTTGAGTACTTTATAACTCAGTGCACAAAGTACAGCGGCTCTTTTTCTATTTTTTTAATCGACAGTGAAATTTATATTATATCATGTGCTTATACTAGAAGTATATCTAATTCTAAAATTATTTTCTCATTATATTGCAAAATTAATCTTCAATTTTCGTAAATTTAACTGCATTTAGGCATTTTCTCAGACACTGAAAGTGCTGTTTTTCCATTCAGACAACGTGTCATTGCCTTGAGAATATTATAATATTATTTGTTCGAATTGTATTCATATTCATGTGCCTTCTCATGCGCAACAGTTAAACAAACAAATGATAGTGTTGGGCGGGAAACAGCTTCATTGTTAGATGTCACCATGAATCAACCAATTAGAGCGCGCGCATTAAAGGGAAACATTCCAGCCATGGCGAAGGCAGAGGCAAATAATCGCATGCGAGATACTAACAAATCACGATATTTTGTTATAACCGAGTTCAATAGTTGTTTTATCATTCAAAGTTATTCTTTTCGCTCTCTCTTTAATGTGTACTTTGTTTTGTTTTTATTGCGCATGACTAGAGTATTAGTTTCAGCAAAACGGCTTTGCTTCATAATGCAAATGAGCAGAATATTATTTGTAGGTCTTTATTTTGCTGTTCTCTCGGCCAATCAGAACGACGCAATAAAAGAATTTGAATGATAATGCTTTTTATTGGAGTTTCTCGATGTACCACTAAGGTACGAGGTAATAATAATAATGGAAACTTTATTTCATTT